AAGGCATAATTTTCTGCAAGCTCTAAAGGCTGTAACACTTGGTATCTCAAGGAAATCTTGGCACTTCAGCCTTGGGTAAAAGAAATTCTAGGATCTATTCTTCATTTAAATTTTCATGTTCAGTGAATGTCATTTAACTGAACATGGACTTTAAGAATCCATTTTAAGAAAGCCTGTAGGATCCTCTACAAAATTTCAGACTCTGAAGATGGTGAAATTCTCACAGCAGACCTCTACTAACATAGATGTTATCTATAGCAAGATCACTCAGTCAATACACAACAGAAACCCAATGAGAACTTTTCTTCTTTGCTTTTGATTCAAATCATTCTTACACAGAGAAGGCAGAATAACACAAATTGTATGCCAAACTACAAAAGCTTATTCAAAGTACAACTTGAACATTATGTCTCCTTCTGCTGATATAGTTCATTTCTAGATTATAAGGAACCCCTGTAACGCACATAACAGCTTAATATTGCCTCAAGTTTTTAAAGCATCTCAAAGGCACCAAGACACCTTCCAACTGAGGAAGCATAATATTAACAGAGTAGGAAAAAAACACATACATCACAAGGATCATAACTCAAAATTCTCCTGAAAAATAAAACAGTCAGAACTGAGGATGTGAGAATTGGTATGAAGTTCATAATAGCTATGTTACAACCTCAGAATATATGAAAATGTCTAAACACAGCATTATAGATCATAAGCATTCTACCTTCTTGGTTCTGATAAGCCCTGCCACTCACATTTATATAAGTATATGAATGCATGTGTGGGCTGTGGTACTGGCATGCTTGTGACATGGCTGATGATCTCAACCAAATTAGAACCCTTTCAACTTACCAAGCACACCAAACAGGTTTCTGCTACATTTCTCCACCTAGCTCCAGATAACCAAATCAATGAGTCTGATTGAACTGATACATCTCACAATATGAACACTTCTGCAAAAAACCCTGAAGTACTCCCAGTTGTTTGATAGGAATTATGAGGAATATGCAGAACAGAAGGTGCCACGTACACATTTTTTGGCTCCAAAAAGGGATGCCTTGTCTAACATATTGCCTCAATTCCAAACATCTCTTTATATTTTATTTCACTGTCTTAAGTTCCCCATACTGTGTATCTTTAGATAGATGACAGGCAGACACAGATGACAGACAAATATATATTAGAACAGTGACATAAGAGCAGTTTCATACTGATCAAGGCAGACTTCCCATTTTAAGGAGTATTTGAGGTTTTTTTACTATAGAAACAAAGTAACAACAAAATCGTCCTTCATTTTGTAATCAATTTTTCTCATGTATACTGCTGAGAATAAGATTTTAAAAACTGGATGATTTAGTTAGGCAGGACTTTATAAGGACTTTTAATTTCAAAATCATATGAAAAGAAAATTTGTTTTTAAAATCCGCTATTCTCTAATGAGAGCTAGAATACAGAGACTTAATTTTATTAAGGTCAACAAACACTTAGGTTGTTGAGGTCTCATTCACATTACAATAAAATCATATATATAAAAGGCATCTTAGATTCTTAGAGTAAACTCTTCATTATAACTACTCTTCAGTCTCAAAAATTGCCATTATTGTCTGACTGCATTTTTAAGAGAGACTTCATTGAGAGTTCATGAAAGCTGCAGGATTGAACACCCAGAGATTCAGATCCTAACGAATTTTTTACCATCTTTTTTCCCCTGTATGTGAAGCAGCACGGATGAACAGAGAAGTTGCAGCCCTCCTTCCAGCTACAACTTCTTCAACAAACACTTTCTCATATTCCAAACCTCCACAAAGTAGGCACTTTACAGGCATAGGTACATAAAAGTGGATCCACATTGCCCTAAGACATCCAATTGAAGAAAGCACAGAAATGCCGGTCTGCTCCATTCATATGCTCATCCCCTGACAGGCACACCCTAGTCCTTTCCAAGGCACCCATAAGGAGCATTGATACCAGAGTTTTCCAACCAGACCTTTCATCTCAAAACCATTAACTCTTTTGACACTTGTACCTCCAAGCACCTGCAGGCAGTGAGCACAGGAGGTCTCTGCTGAACAGGATAAACACACCTCACTGCCTGGAGCCAGGGAAGAACTCATCACCTGCAGGTAGGGAAGAACTCATTGCCTGCAAGCGGGAATAGAGATGTGACATGAACCCTCACTCAGTCAAAGAAATAAACACAAGGTGCTTATTCAAGCCCACAGGGCAACACTGCAGATTCATATGCTCCTCTCAAAGAGGCACATGTACACAGAAGTCACAGCCAGTTCAGAATTTATTAATTCCTGAATATGCAAGAATATTCTTCTCTTTCCACAGTAGTATCTAAGGTAGTTTGGAAACAACATGACATAAAGAGATAATTTATTGCCAAAATGCAAATCTTCAGAACATCTGTCTGTAGGGCCTCTCCATAAATTCACATAAATCTATCAAGGCTTAGGCTCACAGCACAACATAACCACATTGAACAGCATTTCAGATGCTCTTCAGATTCCCTGGTATTCTGGATACTGTCCAAGTAGTAATTAATAGAGTCAACACATTCCCAGTATTTGTTGTTGATTTGAAACTGCACAAAACTGTCTCCTCTGAGAGCAGTGAAATGCAGAACATATGAAATCAGATGTGGAACTTACACAATATTTGCTGATGAGAATAAAATCTCATCAGCCCTTATTCATGCTAGATAATAAACTATTTTCTGTCAGAGCCAGAGACATTTTTTAAAAAATGCCATCTCCTCCAGTTATGAAAAGAAACAGCCACTTCACAAAAGCTTTATTTTATGGAAATATCAAAATAATTTAAATAACACACTGGAAAAACCACAAGGCAATACAAGCTTCATATAATCCAGTTACCTACCACATCACTGAAGAGAGAAGAAATCAGCAGCTTGTGGATTATGTGGTGCTTACAAAGAGCTGTACTTACAGTCAACAGAGGGGCAAAGCCCTGCATTTATTTCTGCAATATCTAGACAGGAATGGTGTCAGCACCAATTTTTAACGGCCTCACCTCCAGTCTGCAAGACCATAGCTGAAAAGGCCATTCAGTCTGTTATATCCCTACAACATCCTGTCTGCTGAGCTTGCAAGAAGGGCAGTTCATACATAGGAGGTGGCCTTGCTTGCTCACTCCCACCATGCATGAAGCCACAGCTTCAGCAGGGCACTCAGATAAAGCTCTGGCTGTTGAAGACGGCTTCAGCGACCTCTCCAGAAGCACCATGTAAGCAATTCCAACAGCACTTTCCATGCTACCCGTCCCTGAGATAAAAGCCACACAACAGAGCAAGACGTTCACAGACATTAATGTGTTAGTATTACTCTATTATCAAGTCAACCAGGAGAAGGCAATGCTGTGAGGAAAGATCTGTAGCAGTTGGTGCAATACGCAAGTGACATAGATATGAAGGGAAAAGGGAGGACTATAAAAGAGAAGAATGCTTAAAAGAGCATTGAGATATCATAGATTGCATTTCGTTTAAGAGGGCACTTATTTTCAGCACAAAACTGAACACTAGATTGCTGCATACCAAGCTTTTTCTTATTCAAAACCAAAGATAGGCCTTGCAGGGGGCGGGTATTATCAGACCCTGATGCTAAAAGCCTTTGCAGCCCAAGTGTTTAATTAGCTACTATTATTCCCTTAACTTCTGAAAATCAAACTGTTAGCACATGCTTTATTCAAACCTTTAAAAACATTCATGCTGAAGTGCTGTTTCACAGATGTCCAAGTATCTCAGGGACAGCCCGGGAATAGGATATAAAATTAATTATCTTAAATTTACCACGTTCACAAGGAAGATTTTTAGAGCTCAGTGAAATAGCAAATACCAATGTGTATTGATCTTGCAAAATTAGGTAGTCACAGGATAAGTTGAGTTGGAAGGGACTCATGAGAATCACTGAATCCAACTCTTAGTCCTGCACAGCCTTCCCAAGTCCTTCCCAAGTCCTTCCAGCCTTCTACAAGAGAAGCTAATAACATTAAAAAAAGTTTTTGCAACTGGATATAAATAAATCACCTAGCTACTGGATATATAACTGAAACAAATGTTTAGATTTCGCCTACTAATTGAATACAGGAAGTACACAATTTTCAAATGGGGCTTTCCTGTTCCAATACCAGATACTAAAACTTCATTACCCAGTTGTAATTACTTTGTCTTCATTATGTAGTTTATAGGTAGAGAGGGAGAGGAAGGCTATGTCTAATACACATGGCACTTGGCAGGAAAACTGATGGTGATTAGGCATGATTAGGCAATACTGCAGCTCATATCAAGTTTTGGTTAGCTTCATACAGTTTTAGCTTATACAGCTTTAACCAGCTTGTGGAGAAGCACAGAACTTACACCAGCACAGGTTTAACCTACCAGGAATTTTGCAATGCATTTGAACCACCAGAAGAAATTTGTATTTCACAGAAACACTGTAGTCAAACAGCGAGATTCGAAGGGAAAATGAAGTGGAACCAAGATGGGAGGAGAAGAAAAGGGAATGAATGGCGGCAGGCAATGGAGGGAAACCAAATCCTAAATAATCAGGCTGGGCAGAAAATGACTCTTGAAGCAGGCAGAGTCAGAAAAAAGGAAGAGGCAATCTTCTAAATATGTTTGGGCTATTTAGGATGTTGCTGCATGGTATCAGGTTACTTGTAAAGCAACGAGCTCACTTCTGTAGCAAAGTGGTGGCACTAAGGAATCAGGAAAAGTAACATCCCAAGATATTGGGCTTTCTTGCAAGAGACCAATTAGGTTGATTTTTCCCCATGTATCTTTATAACCTTAGATAACCTCACCATGAGAGCCCTGTCCTCCCTTCCCAACCCAGAAAACAATAAACAGTACTCACTGCTGTTACCAAAAAAAATGAAAATTTATATATATATATAAATTACACCATGCAGTCATGGTACATATCAGCTCCTGTCTTGAGAAAAAGAACAAAGAAAAACACAACAGTGTTGTTACTTACATTCTTGTACTGCTGGTCTTGTTGATAATTACAGATTTTCCAGTCTGATCCACATTGTGATCCATTCCAAAATAAGCTGCCACTCTATGCACTAGCATCCTCTGATATGATGACATCTGAGGGAACTTTTTATAGTGATTACTAGAAACAAAGGTAACAAATAGCATTGATAATTACATTTCCCTCTAGGCTATAAATAAATGAAAACAGCAATACATTTGACAATTCAGTGGACAAAAATCTCATTGAAAACTCCGTTATGCATTTACATATAAATGTTTGCTACAGAAGGCTGAAATTATTAAAAAAAAAAGAATTAATTACCACTTCATGGTACCTAGTCAGTATTCTGTGTGCTGGGAAACAACTCATCCCTCAATCCCCCACATGCACTCACACTCCCTGCACAAACAATCCTACAGATTTGCTGAGACACTGGCAACAGCTTTCTGCCTTTCTTCCAAAGGTCAGATTCGGGGCAATTCTGGAAAGATCTAGTTCGGCAAACACTCCTGTTTTTCCTCTATTACAGACAAAATGGTTATTTCCCATCAGCGTAATTTTTTCCTCTGTTGCTATTCTGACTCTCTATTTTTAAAGCTGCAGGTATATTTTATTATAAAGACCACATAGTAGCAAGAACCTCTCCACCTAAGTTCAGTTTTACTTTCCAACACATCAGAATAACATAACACAAAGGAAAACCATGAGATAACATATCTGATTATCCTCCACACTAAAAGCTTTAATTATATTTTTGGATCTAAATGAACGGAGCCAGTGCAATTACAACACAATGAAAAGCAAAAGGTTTTAATTTACATCTACTTTATTTTAAGCAGTTCACCCATATGGCAGGAAATAGGTACTTGCTCTTGCAGTGTGCCAGTAACAGCCCTCAGGAGCACTGTGGTCCATATGAGTATATCCCTCACACAACTCACGCTGGAACACACACATGTGACTTTATAAACCAAGTGTGGAACTCAACTTACTTGTTGTCACTAATAAAATCAATAATTTCCTGTTCCATTTTCAAGAGTATCATTCTGTCCCTGTCAAAAAGAAACACAAGGATTTGCACCATCATCTATGAAAAGATATTTTAGAGGAAAATATTCATATAACAATGTTTGTAAGGCTATTTTGCAAGCACTGTCAGTCATCTTGATTAAAAATGAAACATGCTTTTTTACCCTGGATCATCTGAAAAAGATTAAAGCCTGCTTTTCTGCACTTTCACTGACATACAGATTCCACTCTTTTATGAACTCAACTATGGTCTGAGAGCACTTCCAGCCACAACAGTCTGCAATCAATGCATTGCATAGAAGGACTCTCCCTGCTATGGATAATTTTGGTCTTTTTTTCACCCTTTCTTGATGGAAAATGAGATTTCCACCTAAGCTAGATCTTTCACAAGAAGAGCTGCTACCCACAGAAATTTTCAACATTTTTCCTGAGACATATCTTCCACAAGGCATTGATTTGCTTCAAGGAAGCTGGACACATCTTATCTAGTTAGAGAGCACAATGGAGCTTTGAACTATGGCTCCCAAGAGGAGAAGCTATGGTATTTCTCAGGCAAAATGCTCTGGTTTTCACTGGAAGGTCTCAGATGTTACTTTTCCGTCTCCTCCCTTGTAAAAAACATTCAAAAGTTTCCCTGGCATATTTCCACACATTTCTAAGCTGGACAGAGTCCCATCATTCCTTAGTTTTTTTGAACTTTCTCATTTTGCATAGATAAAGCGATTGAAGGACCTTCCATCATCTGTACAAGGGGCTATGCAAGCTGTTAGGAACCCAATTATTGCCAGTTCTCCTGGGAATAATTGCAGAATTATATGGTACCTGTTTAACACATCCAACTGAAATGAACATTGAAAATCACAGTGCATAAAAATGTTACAGATCTTTCCTTGGATGCTTAGAGGCAAATTTAATGATGAGACAGGCTTGTAGCTCCAAATAAAAACTATGGGAATACTGAGAGCAGAATTTGAGACTGAGCACAGGATTTTAATTGTGTGCAGCATTGCTCAAGAAAAAGCTACTTTATATTCATATACGTGAATATACATCTCCAACCACAATAGTTATAACATATTATTGCAATCACCAAATAGAGCTGTATAAAAGAAGGTAAGGACAAAGACCAGATGTTACTGAAATTGAAATTAAGCAATGGGTGACTGGATGGAGGAGTAGAAGTTGATGATTTTTTAATAGCATTTTTCTCAATTAACAGCCTACCTCCTTTACATTTTCCTTTATAACCATTTCCAGAACAAATAAAACAGTGTATAGTTACAAGAAATCGAAGATTGCCAATTATAATTTCAGGAATATCACTCTAACACAGGAAATACCTACCTGGGGTTATTCTTTAATGTGTTTATGAGAAACTCATGCAAATCTATGCCTGTTGAGTCTGTATACTCTTGACTGCAATCTGAAAAATAAGAACAAAGAGCCTCCACTTGTTTATTTCATTTCAGCAGTTCCAATTAACTGTGCCATCAATCAAAATCCATTTTCCAGCAACAATCTGAAATAATATGCTCTGAGAGAAAATAGTCTTTTGGAGTTCAGCCAAGAAAGATATACATTCTGAAGAATCACGTGGATATTCACTGTTCCTCTGTACAACTCCAATGAGAACACAGCATTAAAACTAAACATTGACAGAAACTGCTGGTCATTTAAAAACACAGAAAACCTTCAGTGCCATTCAAGACTCTGCCAAGTTCTTCCTTTAAATCATTAAAAATTTTAAAATGAGGAAAGAAAAGTTTTATTCATCAATGTTTCTTTGTGTCACTTAATAAATGCTGTACGCTCAGCAAATGAGGAATCATGACAGTGGGAAATCTATTTGCATTAAAAGACTAAAATCTAATGACACCTGGGAGTAGGCAGGTAATAGGGATGCATGACAGTAGCCAAAATTAATTTTTCAGCATTATCTCCTGACTCAAATGTACACACAGATTCTCAAGTTGGCGTGAACTGTGAGAGCTCCAGTGAAGCCAAATGACAATTCACACCAGCTGCAGACCCACACCCAGGTAGGCAGTGGTTCTTTTTGGGAGATTACAATGCAACTTTATACTGCGGATAATAAAATAATAAAAAGATTTTAAAAAGCAATACCAAATTTAGATAAGACATCTCTCCTGAAGAAGCCTTGGTAGGTGATAACAGAAGATTGCAATGGAGATTAAATGTCATGGATGAATTTCCTTACTGCATTTAAGATAAATTCTCCATGAGAGAGAAGCAAAATCGAAGAGGATATTCTCTGCTGCCTACACTGCACAAGTTACATGCCAATATATTGTCATTAATCTAGATAAAAGAGTATTAATGTCTTATGCACTATATACACTTATTATGCAATCATAATATATATATATGTTTATACCAACACGGTTAAGCATTCAAAAGATTGATTTTACATTAAAGAAAATGAATAAAATCTAATAAAAGACCTCTGTTTGGAAGGTTTCTTCACTTTAAAGCGTGATGCTTGTATGGAAAACATTCTTGTGCATATACATTTTAGGTTCTGAATTTTCTCAGTGCATGAAAACACTTCTACTGTATATATATATATATACAAACAAAGAAATAAATCCTTGTAAAAATGTACAATCCTTTCTACAATGGTAATTATAATATTTTAAATATTTTTAAGTTCACCTTTTGATAATGTTCTGATCTTGCTTTTTTCACTGTTTTTATTTTTATCCTTCTCTTTTTCTTTCTCGGAGTCATCTTTACTAGATTTATCTTCATGCAAGCTAGGAAAACTTGAAAGCTGTAGTTGGATTGATTCCTGTTGGGGAAAAAAGATAGATAAATTATGGGCCAGATTCAGTATGCTTCCCATGGCTTCCAACCTGCAGATATTAGCATTTAACTATGTGTAGCTAGACAAGTTGAAGCCAGATACATTTCTTTCCATTTGAAACATAGCATTTTTTAGCCAGATGAATGACAACATCTTAGAGGCCAAATTCTAGTGGTAAGTAAGTATTTTTTCTTTAATATTTTGAATATTATAAAATTTAGGCTACCTCTATTAAGGAGGCTATATTATTCTATAATTCAGTAGTTCTCCCTTAAGACTTTACAGAATAATTAAACACATTTCATATGGCCTTTCTTAATTAATTCTGTAATTTCATACTGCATATATGCAGTGATGATCAATGGATAGATATCTGAAAAACAAAACTTTTTTCCTTTCACTAGAAAGTCTGCAGGTTGATATGAATTGTTTTGCACACGTAAGGGCAGTATCAGGTAGATGGACTTTTCTGGCTCTAATAGTAGAAGAGTGTCAGCAAATTTTATGCTCCATTGTATACAAGTGGGCTTACTAACTTATCAGGTAATTCATATTTAAAGGCATATGCAGATGTGTCTTTTGCAAAAGGGGGGAAATGTGCCCTGTGATTTTTCAAGGACAAATCCTTGAATAAAACAAATCCTTGACTAAAACAAAAAAGTTTTAGTAAGTGAACTTCTCTAAGGCACCACAAATTTTACCCTCAAAAATTCAGCATTTCAGAGACTATGAATCCCTTTGAAACATGCTTCAGCTTTAAAAAGTTAATAAAAACTGAGAATTCAAGCTGGTTTGCATTTTCGAATTTTCTTTAAAAAACTTGTTTTCCCTGCTCACAATATTACTTTATAATGGCCTTGTTTTAAGAAAACCCAAATAGTTTTCTTTTTAAATTACCATGGCATAATTTATATATTTCAAAAAATCCTAATCTGGTCGGACAAAATTGAAGGAAGCATACATCTGTGTTTTATTCTTTTAAAGAAAAAAAAAAAAAACACCCCAGAAAATTATATGCTTAAGTAGCGTAAAAAAACAAATTTGAAGAAAGCTGTCATGAAACTCCCTGGTAAAGCAGTTTTCTTTAATAGAAGAGAGTCCTGCATGCTTGATAATTTTTTTACATTGTGTTAATGAAAACCTAATTCACCAATACTTGAGAATTTTTGAGTTTCTTGAATGCTAGTAAATTCCGTTCCTTCACTATTTTTCAAAGATAGCATACCAAAAGATCAATAGAAAACTTTTAAGTAAGAGGTGTGTTTTTGAGCAACCATTATAAATTCAAAAGATGTTTCCAGTAATTATTATGAACTCTAGGTTTCTGAATTCTTTAAAGAACTACGAATCAGGCATCACAAGACATGTAAGACAAGATCCTAACAAAACAAGGTATCAGCATAAACATGCCACAGTAAGACAGAAATTGGTAACTTCTCAGCTTAATAATTTTTGACTTTTTGTGAAATTTGAATGTGGCACAAAAGAATTGAGATAAAAAGCATTGTAAAACAAAAACAAAGACCCAAAATTTAACCTGACCTACCACCCTCAATCCCTGTTAAAACTTCTGTTAGCTTTGGCTGACAGTTTTACCCAAAATCTGAGCCTACAGAGGGAAAGAGTGGGAATTCCTGGTCATTTGAGGTAAGGATACATTGATAAATGTTTCCTAAATTGCTCAGTTGTGCTCAGAGAACTAATGCTGTGCCTGGTTTCTTTCACTTCAAATGGAAGTTTGATTTCTCATTCATGCAAAATTTAGATCAACCTCTGCCAAATGACCCCAAATGAGAACCTGATTCCCTACCTTGCCCAGAGCAGAGTGACTGTGCTGCTAGCTTTTCAACAGGAGAAAAATGTAACTGGCCACGTTGTTCCCAGGCTATTACTCCTAAACTTCACTCCTAAACTAAGTGATTCTTAAAAATGCACTTACGAAAATGACAAACTTTAAAGAAAAGCACATATATGAACATACAGCAGATACTCTTTTACATGTAACATAATACTGACGTATTTGCACTAGAAAAAATACACAAAAGGGCTGTAGAGTCGTGAAAGCAAGCTACTGCATATTTTCTTAGATTTTTATTGATTTTTTTCAATAATAAAATACAATGTTAATAAATACATTGATACAAGTATAGTGAACAACAAAATAGATTTTCAATTGCAGTAATACACTTCTTGGTCTATAGCATAACATTAAAGGCAACATTTCTTTTAAGTAAGGACATAGTGAACCATTGGATAAGCACTCAAGATCAAGTAATACAGGTAAGCAAGTTTTTTCCTTATACAGGAAAATGAAGGCAAGTGTTCAAATATAAGTACAAATATCAAGTCTGCAGTACAATCCATACTAAGTAGTTCTGGCAAGGTACTGTACATTTTCTGATAATTAATTCCCTGTGGCTTATAAACCGTTAGAATAAAATAAAAATTATTTAAAAATAATTCCAAACCAAAATTAAGCTACTTCTCTGAAGTGAAAGCAAAACAATTTGGTTGGCACAAAGCTTTCTGTATCCTTCAGCCAGCCCAGGGAGGAGCCTGCAGGTCCAGCTTTCCATGGCAAAGTTGAGCCACATTCATTAGTAAAAGGTCAGCAAGAAAGGGCAATTCTCATCAAATTAATTACACGAAGCCAATTGTTTCCTTTGAAAACATGCTGCGGCCATGGGAGACAATTCATCTCCAATAAATATTTTAAGATGGTCAAAGAAATCTTTGCTGAGACTGGTCAGTCAGATAAGACTAAAGGCTATTTGAAACAGGGACGCCTCCTCTGCCTGGTGTAGGGATAGGGATTTTGCCTCAACACTGCCAGTCTCTCTGTAGTTTAGTACAGGTCCTGTGCAGTACATGATAAACCACCAGCGATGCTTAATACAATCTCTTTATACTGCTCTCCTTCTCATTCTCCATTAAACAATAGAAAATACAAACAAAATTGGAACAAAAGCCACGCATTTTGAAGTGGAAAGTGCCTACCTACAACAGAACTGATAAAATAAACAGCTCATCTACTGCATAAGCATCATTGTAGAGCAGTAGAACATATAAATGTCCTGCTGCTAAGCAGCTTCGGTTTTGGTCTTTCAATAAAATTTAAAAAAATATAAAAACCTCTCCTTTCTTATGAGCTAAAGTACACTTAAATGTAATTTTTTTTTTGTGCTAAGCTCACAAGAAGCCACATACTCAAGCTCTCTCGATGGCTGATTTCAGTTGCACATAAACATCTCATAAATTATAGGTAATGTTCATCATATTTTGGGTTTTAGTTAGCTGGGTTTTTTTAAGCCTTTTTTTAAGCCATGCTCTCACTAGGCAAGCAAAGAGGACTAATTGAGGCTTAACTTTTGCTTTTTGGAGTACTTTTAGAAGTTAGTCTACAAAGACTGACACCAGGGTTTTTGTCTGAGGTGAGAAGTGCAGAGGATGGAACTCTACCAACTGCTGGGAATACAACACTACCAGTACAGATAAACTCAAATACACTGTTTTTTATATAGTTTAATTTACATCAAGAGTTTAAAAAATGAATGCCACTCAGTAGGAGGCATCCTTGGCTCTACCAAGGTATTTTAGAGAGTGAAGGACAATTAAATTTTATGTTAAGGGGGACATTGATATGAGCTGAAGTCTTAGAGGAACCACAAATCAGAGCATATTCATAACTGTATTTGGTGCAGCCTCAAAAGAGATAGCCTCAGAGAAAAGAACATATTATTATTCTTTTTGATTGTTACTATTTTTTTAAATTTTAAAATCTGAATTCTTTTGAATTCTTTTCCATTTGCTGAAATTTTCAGGGGGTCTGGAAAAAAAAGCAAACAACACCCTGTGATATAGTATAAAACTAGTATTTCAAATTAAAGTTCACGCTAAACCAGTAGCTCCATAAGAACATGTTCATTGTCGGATGTAATTTTTCCCCCAAGAAAGATATTGTTAAATGCCCGATTAAGTAACACAATCATGCAACTGAAGACGGAGGTCAACCATGCAGCTAACAGCAATGATTGCAAGTGTACCTGATTGTCATGAAGATTTTCTGCTCCTGGGCGAGGGGATGACTCTTCACACACAGCAAGACTCCGCACGAGTTTTCCCTTAGCTCCTGACTGAATAAGAGAGAGAGAGAACAAAACAGAAAGCACTGCTACCGACCCCAAGTCACATAAGCTGCCCATACCAGCTGTTCCCAAATATCCCAGATGACTATTACCCTCCCAGTCCAAAAAAATGCATTTGCCTCGGACATGGATAAAAAAGGATTTCAAGCAGCAAGACATTTGCCACATAGGGAAGGTGGTAGGTTTCTTTTTGTTTTTATCATTTCACCTACAGTTCACTCACTGCCACCAAAGCAAAGAACAGAACAGTCCAATACTGAAAGTAATTTAACATGAACTCAAGGGTTTCTTTTGTCATTTGGTTTGGGGATTTTTTTTTTTGTTTGTTCTGGGAGTCCCTCCCCTTATTCTAGCAGTTTTATATCCAAGAAACATGGACAATAAAATGTGTGTGTATTACAGATCTGCACTTGAAAAATTAAAACAAGTTTTTTAGGGTTTTATTTGTTTCTAGAAGCTCCTTCCTACACGTGTCCCTACCTATTCCCCCCTTAGGGAGCTAGTCAATCTCTGTTTCTTTATGTGAAGATTATTCCATTAAAATAAATTCTAACAGAAACATTAGTTACTAATGCAAAAGGAGTGAACATTTTCCTTGTCCAGTGGTGCATAGAAGCACACATGCTGTCAACATATGGACACAGCAAATCCAGCAGCATAAAATTATGATGGATAAAAGGAGGCCTGACACATTATATCTCTGCCTTTGTGTAAAAGGACTATGGGGCAGGGGGCAAGAAAAAACCTGCAACACAAACAAAAAACTCAACCAGACAAGTGATGAAAGAATGCAATTTTGACTGCAGACAGACATTTAACTGAAATCCTTCATCCTATTGTGGCATGCAATTCCAACAGAGATTGACTCTTACCTTGGATCTCTTTTTCTGCTGATTTGCACCTCGTTTCTGGGTATAGCAAAAAAAGAGAAGCAGTTATCACTTCAGTGGACAGTGGGCATGATGAGAGCATTACCAATAAACAGACTAAATCATTTCTAGTTGTCTTAAATCAGTTGCTGACTGCAAAAGCAACTTCCCCAAACCCAGTTTGGAAAGCAGGGAAAACCAAGAATCATCTCTGCTCATTTTCATTCATTTTACAAAGAGGTATAAACAAGAAAAAAAACCCACAGTGTTCTGTAATTTTGCATATAATAAAAATGTAAGAAAAGGCATCCTTAAGTAAATGCTCCCCCTCTCCAAATTCCTCTTGTGGTCTCCCCCTTTATTTTTTTATTTCATTGAGCAAAACGGATTAAAAAGCCCTCATCCGATAAAGTGTTCTTATCAAATTACCTTCTTAGGCTTTGCATAACAACTTTTTGTTGGCAGTAACACCTACAAACCAAACCACACATTAAGTAATAATTCATTAGTATTACCTGTAAATTCATGAGGTCAAGGTACTTTTCTAAATCCCCAAAGAGGGAAAATAGTCAAATATCTCATCAAGTTTTAAAACAGATGCCTAGAAATTAACTTCTCAGAAAAAGTAATAACATGGAAAGCCGCCTAAAGAGCATGAAAGGTATAACAAATAATAGCCTTTATTTTACAGTGAAATAAAAGAACCCTAAATAAATAAATAAATAATTTTTTTTAAAAGGAAGAAACAGAAACAGTATCCAAATCATAAGAAAAAATAGGGGAAGTGTAAACAAGGAAAGAACACACAGAAATGGAAAAGCAATGGTAACATATTGATATCCAACACGACCATTCACTGTTCCTGTCTCACCTGCAGCTCTGTCTTGGAATCACTGAGCTTCTCCTCCTCTACTTCTGAGCTTTCAGATTTATTAAGAACACAGTTGTCCTGGTTGGCTTCAGAGATGGCAGTCTTCTGCTCTTTTGCAGCTTCCTCTGCTGTCTCCTGGTTCAATTTACCTTGCTCAGACATTCTTCCAGACAGAAATTAAAATAACAAGATTTGGTGACCTGAAAGTTCAAGATACCATGACACACACACAAAAGAAACATTGGGGATAAGATTTTTTTTTCTTTTAATTCCCAATTTCAGTTCCTTTGATAAACAACCAAAATATGCAGCTCAGGAGTGGAAAACTATGTATGTCCCAGCTGAAGAGATGTACCTAATCAACAATATTGGGTAACAGCAGAATTGTGCCAGGTAAAGCAAGCAAATCTGAGCAGTCCTTGTGGACATCAGATTTAAGGTAAGGTTCTGTGGCTTTCCAGCCCAGCCCCAGGACTGCCAAGGGTCAGGCAGGGACAGTGAAGGACTCTCTACAACAAAGCTCAATGATACCAGGCAAAAAGGACCCATTCTAGGTCTCTAGCATCTTAGTGTTCCCCTCCTCTAATTTTAGCACTTTTTTTTCCTTTTCTTTTAATAAAAAGTAACAGTCAAACAAACAGGAATAAAAGCCAAGCCTGAACAACAGCACTGTTTTTAGTATTCAGCCGTGGGTTTTATGTATAGTAGGAGCCGTGGTGCTCACTACCACTATATATATACATATATTTTTTAAGACGTGATAATTCAAGATAAGTATGAACTCTAATTTGGCAATAAAGTCCTCAGAATCAACATTTTCAGGGATCAAACTAACAACTCTATTATTAAAACCTTAAGCCTCTTCCCAAAACCTATGTCATTCTTCAGTACTAGGAAAATTTACAGAAAGCCCTTGGCAGGTACTTCTAATGAAGAAATCTCAACTGAACTGCATTTAGTCTCAGCTTACTATGGGGTTGTTGTACAGAAGCTTTAAAGGCTTTTCAGAGTTAAAGCCTATTATTATTTTCTCTCTCTTTCTCTGCCCCCAGCTCCCTCCTGAAGACTCCCCCACTGATCAGTTGTCAAAGAAGACTCATGAATAATTTAACTTTTCTTTCCCCATCCATTTGGCTTTAGAAGCATCTTCAAGAAAAACAACTGTATATTAAATATTTAGTTTTTTTCAGGAAGGGTCTTTTGCAACACATTGCCACTTCTCAACAGTGAAACCGCAGCAAAATCACACTTTACCATCTTTCTTTTTGCAGATTGAAATTAAACATTCAACAGAACCAGTATAACTTACCTTTTTTTTTTTAATCTATTTTTTAAGTGAAAAAAATCTAAGGCATACTGAGTTATAAACACTTACATCTTCCAGTTTTTGCTTTTGTTTTCACACTGTAAGCAAATAAAAATTCCTATATAATCTTCCTGTTTGAGAAGGACTCTGAATTTCACAAGTAATCAAGTTATAAGGTTCATAAACAAACTAAATGGAATATGAAACTAACCTGAAGCTTGACTTGCCTTACTGTGAGCTAATTTGTGATTCTCCTTTCTCCCACCGCTCTCCCCAAGAAGGCTGATAATTTTGGCTATTCTGCAGTTACAACTGAAACTTGAACCGCTTTGATGAAAATTCAAAACATGATGAGTGGCAAGTCCTTTAACTGGGCTGTTAAATAACCCTTAATTTGGAAAGGATTTTCATCAAGAAATGCACATGCATGCACAAGCTCCTCATGAGCAGATCAACCTGCAGCTCATCTACATGCTTACACAGTGCTCACAAAAATGATTACACTTGGATAAGCTGCACCAAAGAAGCCGTTTACCTGAAAACTTCTTGCTATAATTCCAACTGCCTTTCTAGTGTCTTCTGTTGGTCTTTGCTAAAGTCCACACAAATGATCAATGGCAACGTGAGTCCCATGTCCCCATTAACAGTTCAGAGTGCCAATCTCCATGATGGTCCTTTGGAGAGCTTGATGCATTATAGTTAACCTGGAAAAGACGAAAAATAAATAACACTGGCAATGATCACGGCACAAGGGAGGGATGCAATGGGTAGGACCAGATTTCTAACACTAATGACCAGTTTCCAGCAAGTCTTTTTCACAGCTTGATCCAGATCCACCTGTCTCAAAACTGCCGGCTTCTTCTCTAATGAAGGCTAGAGCCGGCTGTTCAAGTCATAACAGCTCCTACGCAAGAAGCTAAAATTAAGAATTGCATTATGCACTGAAGATTACTCATTTCAATTTTAACCTTTTTTAGTAAATTCCAGCACTTTTCATTAAAAAAAAGCATATATACATATTTATATATAAGCTCATCTGTTTGCTTCAACAGAAATCAATGAGGGTATGAGGAGAGAAGATTTGCCTGCTTTTTAACTATGGCTTCTGCTCCAATTAAAACTTCAACAGTCAAACACTACTGAAAAAATATCTAGGTGGGTGCTTTTAGAAAGTCACCTGCTTTATGAGGGTAGTGAATTGAGATGTTAATTTAATAAGCTGAATAAAAGTTGAAATGATCCAGAATGGGAAGAGGAAGAGAAGGAAGAAATCCTATTCCCTGAACAACATCCACCAAAAAATAAATTCTTCTGAAGCATTTTATGAGGAGGAAAAATGAGATTTCCAGGTTATAGTTTGAGAAATAGACCTAAAGATAGAGTTTCCTCAGCAATGCAATTTTTGCTGTTCATCAGGGTTGCATTTGCCAGCTGAATAGCTGATTTAACAGAAAAGGAGCATTTTAGGATGAGTCAGACTGATTTACAGGCCATGGCCATGTGCTGAACTTGTCTTGATACAACAGGCAGCTCTTCTCAAGACTTGCACGTGAGTCACGGTTGAAGCAGTCAGTGCAGACACACAAAACCAGCAAATAGAAAGCACATATCATTCTACTGGAGATGGGGGAGGAAGCCAAGCAACAATAAAGGGAGATGATTTTCTGTTTTTCTGATTTCATTAGACTCCTAGTTTGTGCAGTGCATTTTATATTGTACATGGCTGCAACTGCCATACAGGACATGTCAGCACACTGGAAGTTGTCACGTGAAAAGAGCTGAGTTTGCTGCACCAGAAGTGGTGTCTAGCCTTTAACAATATTTCAGTCCTGCTCACTCCAGGATCTCTGGCACACAAAGGAAACCAGCAGGGAGGTCTGTAAACTATTTATTGATTTATATACACAACTATTTATTTTCCTCAAACCATTTAATAATTCATAGAGAGAAATAGAAAATAGGTCTTGCCACTAGGTTTTTGGTATTTCTTGCAGGATATTTTTTGGAAATTCTAGCTTATTACAAACATAGGCTTACAATGGGAGTGAAAGAACACCATAGATAACTATGCCCAAGTACTCAAGCACATGCAAAAGTATCTCATGGAGTCAATACTCAGCAAGCAAAGAGTGAATAAACCACTGGCTCAAAATCTTTTCTTCATAATCATCTTCCATTAACTGTTTCCGCCAGACTTCCAAATGAGAGATGGGGGAGGGATTAGGAGAGGGAATCAACCAAAATCAATCACAAACCAAAAATCCCAAGGAAATATGCATGAAGTAGTGCATGAAAGTTTCACATGGAAAACAGCCATCCAGGAAATAAACTGTTGTAATCAAAACTCTCCAAAACTAACAGAGACATAGATATCTGTACCAAAATCAGAACACAGTTATTCCAGAACTCTCCAGTGTGACCATTTGTTCTGAATTAACTATTCATAAGGCAAACAAACTGAGCAAACCAAAAACCAGACAACAAACCAACCAACCAAAGGATATCACATGCAGCAAGTAAAGAGATCTGTCAAGATTTGATCTCGTGCACAGATCCTCAACATCATCTTATCCTTTACCCAAGGCAAATTCCATTATGAAATGAGTTCCCCCTATTGTTACACTTAAGATTTCTGAAGACAACATCATTTTTCACAGGCAATGTACAAGAAGACCACAGAATCTTAAATTAAAACAAAAAAACTATCCATAAATTTGCCAAGAAAATACAAGCAAGTGGAAAATAATCTTACAATGTACAGCTACCATCCTCAAACACAGAACAACAATGTCTGTTAGGATGATTTTTTAAAGAAATCCTTCATAATTATCTTCTGGGAAACAAAAAGAAGACAAGGAGTGAGACATACAGCCATCAAATCAAGCTCTTCACCTTCCCTTAATATAGATTTCCTCCTCCTTTATTAAACAATTTACTAGTGATGATTAATCATTTGCATACTACAATATATAAAATACACTTCTGGTTGTTTGGGTGGGTTTTCAGTGGGATTCAGGTTTCCATAAAATATTTCAGGGAGAGTATAAATAGTAAAAAGGAATCAGTCAGAAAAAAGCCATTGAAAGTGAGACATTTTTGTTGGAAATATGTCTCTGTTTCTCGTATGTTTCCAGGATATCTCGCTACTCAGTGAAGAATGTACTTTTTACTATTGTCTGCATGCAATGACAGCACTGCTATGGAAAAACATACTGGATTATTCTCTTTCTTCCACATCAACAAAAACGTCAGGGATGATTTACGATTTGACTGTCAAAACCGTCAGTACTGAAGTGACGCAAAAGGCTGAACAAATGCACTTCTGATTTTGATCCTCAGGTAGAAACCACAAAGCTTGTTGCTAGGCAAAAAGCACCTTCTTGATACGCAAGTGAGCAAAATTTCATAGGGTGTTGGGATCTTAGCAGTCTACAGGAGCTTGTGGCAAAATTTCAGCCCCTAATTCCTTAAAGCAACTTGAGTATTGCACACAGCAATACAACAGAAAAATAAAGGGACCCAGCAAATCACTTGTAGATCCACTTTAATGGAAATATAATCTGTTTGTATAGAATTTATAAGCACCAGCTGCTCAGCATACACTGTGGGATGGGAATGCTGAGGTTTTTTCTTAAATTCTTTTCCTTTTAAAAGGATTTTAATTTTAGAAGCTGAAGGTACTATTGAGCTTGAACAACTATAATCAGAGCTTGAAGAGAAAGGGATGGAAGAAGGCGTGCATGGTCACATACATTCATACAACACATACCACGCAAATTCCAAGAAAAGTTTGTGGGAAGGAATACAATTAATTTAATGCAAGAGTTTAAAAACTACACCCAGAAGAAGGTATGTCAAAAAAAGAGAACAGAAAAGCAAGCAAAGATGTTAGAAAGCCCTATGCAATGAGCACCTGAGAGCTTACCATCAACTGAAATTCAAGAGAGACATCTGACAAAACCCTCAGAGGCCACTACAGGTGAGCAAGCCGACCCTGTATTACTATGAGGTGTTTTGATGACCTCATAGGTATGCATGGTGAAGCAGTCATTTCAAGATCATTATGCTCCCAATATCACACGTCCTCTCTCAGAGAGCAGAAGAGCAGGCTTTAAGGCCAAAAAGCATACTCTTAAATCGCAAGCAGGCAGCAGCAGGCAGGACAGAACTCTGACAGAGGGGTTTTCTTCAAAAGAGTCTGCCAAGCATAAAGGCAAAAGTCATTCCAAAGCCTGAACAGATCCTGCTACTGAAAACTTGCTGATACTGGCCATATCTATAAGCCAGGATCCTTCTCATGCCATCATGATTCTCCATTCTCATGAACGGTTTGCAGGTATGACTCCATGAGCTGGAACCAGAGTTGTCAGTTGAGATTTCCACTACGTGATATAAACCTCATCCATATGTATTAAGAGAGGTTTGACTCATTATTGTTAACTCACTCATCAGACCCCTGGAAGGGCCTGGAAATGGACTCCAGCATTATCCTAAGATTATCAGTAGACACAACCCTCAATTTCGCCAGATTCTCCTGTCTTAAATCATAAACTTCCTGTTATTTGACATTTACTTAAATATTCTGGTTTCTACTATTATGAAAATCAAAGAAAAACTCAGAGTTCATAATGAAAAAAAGAATGTCAATTCTTTGGAGGCTTTGAAGAAAACATTCATGATATAAAATACATTGTTTAAAAAACAAAACAAATCAAAAAAACCCCAGCAACAAAATCAACAAAAAAATCCAAACAACACCACTACCAAACACAAAAAAGGCAGGTAAAATAAATCCTACAGTTTCAGATCAAACACACTACTACTCAGTTGTCCATCTCCCAGTCTTTAGGACTAGTCCTAGTCCTAATCTTTACACCATTACACTACGTGCTCCTTTTTACTGTTTTCCCACATCTCCCAAAGAAATACACAAATGCACTTGGAACCCAAGCTTGCTGCACTGTATTAGCATCGCAGGATAACAGTTCATACCAGTTTTCATATCAAAATGCTTTAGTATGAAAAAAACCCCCCAACCTTAAGGCTGTGAAATGCACGGAATCCTACAGGCTCACTGGTCGTTACAAGACTGAAGACTAAACCTTAAAAAAACAGTGCAAAAATATTTTAATGGAAGTGTTTGATGTCTTATTTTATTTTCCTCCTCCTCACATTGTCCCCTCTTCATCATCACTTAAAAAACATTTTGTCCTACATTTTCTGCTCCTACATGCCACAGACTTTTGCAAATAAAAGGTTATTTACACTCATTTACTGATGGCACTTTACCAGAGACTGTCAGCAGATCATATTTTTTCCCATGAGTTAAAAAAACATGAGCATCTGCATACAAACTATGGTGCAGAGGCCCCTGACCCAGCTTAAACAGGCCAGAAATCAACCATCAGTGGCAGTGGTAGCCAAATTTAATGAAAACAGGGCAGTTTGAAACACACTGAACTAGATCTCAAATCCTATACAAAAAACAACTGTCTCTTAAAAGAGGCAACCAGATGATATGGAGCAGCCTCCCAGCTGAAACATCTATCTTGGAATGGCACTGGCTTTCATCTCCATCTGCATGTGAAAACCAGTATTTACAAATAACAGCAAGGATTCTCAAGTACAGTTTAGCAACCAAACAAAAATCCCAAAACCAAATCAACTTTTTGTGGTTTACACCTGATTCCTTTTTTCAAAGAGATCCTCTTGTTTCTAACAGA